CCGGCTTTTTTCTTTTTGCTTATGTGGTGCTGAGGAATCGAACCCAGGGCCTTGAGCATGCAAGGCAAGTGCTCTACCACTGAGCCACCTTCCTAGCCCGATGATGATTCTTTTTATCATCAGTGGAAAAAGTAACTTTGTTGACATCTTATTTTTCCCTTGACCAAATATAATTTTAGGCAAGCTTTATTTTCTGACACATTATTCAGTCAGCAGTAGTTCACAGTATAATGTTAAGTTCATTTACACTATACTGTCCCTACCAACCTCTGTCACATCTATCATTCAACCTTTAATGATTGATTTATGCTTGAGAAAGTGGTGAGGAATGTCCTTCAGAAAATAGTCTTTTTGCCTTGCATGAGTGTTCCTTGTTTATTTGTCTTATCTAATATAGTCCATTCTAGTTTGATTTTGAAGACTGCCTTTCCTTTCTCTCTCTCTCCTTCCCTCCCTCCTTCCTTCCTTCCTTCTTTCCTTCTTTCCTTCCCTCCTTCCTTCTTTCCTCTCCCCTCTTTCTTTCTCTCTTTCTTTCTTGTGCTAATACTGGGGCTTGAACTCAGGGTCTGGATACTGTACTTTAGACTTTTCACTCAAGACTAGTGCTCTACCACTTGAGCCATTCCTCTACTTCTGGCTTTTTGGTGGTTAATTGTGGATAAAAGTCTCACAGACTTTCCTGATCTGGCTAGCTTTGAACCACAACCCTCAGGTCTCAGCTTCTTGAGTAGCTAGAATTCCAGGCATGACCCATTGGCACCTGACTATGGACTAACTTTTCTTATCTTCAGAAATGTTTTAACGTATTGGTTGGATGCATTACAATCAAAAGAGAATTCTTAATCCCTTTCTATGGTTCTGTAAAGGTACTAGAAGGCAGTTCCTACAAGCTGATTTCTTGTCACTTGTAATTTTCTGATGACTGAACCAGGAGAGATAAATGCTCGGCCAAAGGTCATTTCTTCCTCTAGACTTTTCTCCACAAAAACATTCAAGCTATATGGGGGAGATGAAATAAACAAAAAATCACCACATATTCTCGGAGATATTTGGATTTGAGCACTGCTCTGAGCTCAGATTATGCATAATATAATGAAGTGGTTAATTCAAAGAATTCTCAGTGAAAAGAGTCCTGGTAGACATCTTCTCTAACTTGGATTGAGCAGAAGTAGAACTCTCTCTTTCTTTAGTACCCTCTCTAGAATCCCCTGAGAAATGAATATTCCAAGTAGACTGGCCATTTCCAGGAAGAAAGATGATAAAGTTCAAAGCCAGACTATTATAGAATTAAGGAGATGGAGATGGTGATCAGAGTCAAAGATAACTGATTTGAAAAGAGCATTTATATTCCAAGAGATAGAACTCCAGGGAACACTTTTAAATTTTAAATGACCACTTCTTTCTTTTTGGCTAGTGAGAAGAGGTTGCAGGAGCTTGTGTGGGAAATAAAACAGAAGTAAAGGACTTGATCAGGCAGAGAGGGGCCTGTTGGAAAAGTGTCTCAAAGATGTAAGAGAACCTGACAAATCTATTTGGATAGAACTTGACTCCCTCCACCTGCTCCTGTCATTCCTTTAGGATGTGAGAAAATCTAGCAAGGCTGGATCAAACAAAAGACAGTGGTGCATGAATGTCGCACTAGGAACTGAGAATCTTTATCCAGATGAGAGGTGAAATAGAAACAGACACCCCCACCCATACACACACTTGAGAAATGGGGGAGCTGGTGATATTGAGAGACTGAATCACCAAATTTCACATATTTTTCATGGAAAAGAACTTTTCTGAGTCCCTCTGTTGGTTTTTGCTTTATCTCGTTAGCCAGCTATAGGCTACCTGTTGGTATATTAGTCTTTTTTTCCATTGCTTTGTCAAAATTCTTCAGTCTGGGAATTTTAGAAAGCAAGAGGTTCCTTCAGCTCAGTTTTGAAAGCTAGAAGCCCAGACAGTATGTCACAGCCTCCTTCTCTGAGCTTCATCACTTTTTAATGATGTGGCAGAGTGTGTATGAGAGGGAGGGATTGTGTGACAAGACAGAGAGCCTGAGAAGGGGCCAGTCTTGCGCTTTTAGAACTAAATGCAAGCCTCTATTCCTTCCCAACCTAGAGCCCCCAGTGATGGGAAGTAAGGACTCCCTGGCTAGGTAGTTAAGGATAGAAGATGGTGGCTAGGACTGGCTCTGACATGGAGAGGAGAAATGATTCAAGAAGAAATGCCCATCTTGTTCCCAGTGGGCTCCAGCTGCCAAATGCTATGGCCTGAGTTGTGTTGCTCTAGCCTCCAGCCTATCAGGAGTCCTTTCTGCCCCTAAGTTCCGAGATAGGGGATCCAATCAAAAGGTAGCTTTCAATAATTCCAGAGTTTTTGGAGCATGTGAGCTCACATGCCTTCTCCTGCCTTTAGGCATAATGGTTCTGAGGAAGCTTCTGTTCTTTAGGAAAGCGCCTATCTTCTGCTACAAGGCTGCTCAGGCCCTGGCTAGGACATACCAAGAGTGGTACGGGGAGTTCTCATCCAATCAGGATTTGTTGAGCCCTTGCTCCTTCCCAGGACTCATGAGGCTCTAAAAGAAGCACCTATGCCTTCAGGCTATAAAATACACCTCGTGGGCAGGGAACAGCAGCTCCATGCTCCACTTTTATAGAGGGTGTTCAGATGGCCTGGTATATTCAGCCAAGTCCCTACAAGGGGGGCTTGGTAAGGCTTTGGGGAATGGGACAATTGGAAGTAAAAAGAGGAGGTCTGAGGGAAATGCCAACTGGAAAGATGGTCCAAGGAAAGAAAATTGCTGCTTGGAAGAAGCAGCAAGCCAGAGCTCCAGCTGTTCTTACCATTTGAGGTCTTTATGTCTTTCCTCCTTAGAACTTGGAAGAAGATGCCCAAAGTCGACAACATGCCAACCATTACTATTCGCACCACTCTCACCTCTCCAAATGTAAACTACATCCGATGGAAAGTGCATGGAGACTGGGTTACTCAGGTAAAACAAGCCGAAATGATAATTAAAAGTAAAGCAGGCTGCCCTTGCCACTCTCTGCAGGTAACTCACCCAAGCAATCAAATAAGTATGTAGTAAGTCATCACTGGCCTGGAGGTAAATCCATCAACCTCGCTCAAAACAAATATAAAATGAATTATTGCCTGAAATGCAAAGCATCATAGTGAACAGTTTCTAGAAGCTGGTGAAGCTTCTAGAATGTGAGCTTCCTGCTGTGATTGCTCAAGTAGCCAGTCTCTTAGGATCCATGAATGGAGACTGAATCCACCATGGATTCCAAAAAACTGAAAGGATGTTTGTCCGATTCATGAGAAAGCAAGGCGCATCCTTAATGTTAAAAGAGCCTAGAAATCAAATGCAGAGAGGATGTGCCGCCCATAGACAGAACTCAGGACAAGGTGCAGAGCAGAACGCCTCAGTCTACACCAGTGATGATGTCACATCTCCATGGAGGAGCACAGGCTCTTGACCTCCACTCTTCCCCTTCCTAAATACATCAGGCTTAATCTAAGTAGAGAACCGTCAAAACTAACAACTTTCTTTAAAGAAAGAATGTTAAGATGGGGCTGGGAAGATGGCTCAGTGGTAGAGCGCTTGCCTTCCATGCCTGAGGCCCTGGGTTCAATTCCTCAGCACCACATAAGCAAAAAGAAAAAAGCTGGAAGTGGTGCTGTGGCTTAAGTGGTAGAGCGCTAGCCTTGAGCTGAAGAGCTGAGGGACAGCACCCAGGCCCAGAGTTCAGGACCCACGACCGGACCCAAAAAAGAAAGAAAAAGAAAAGAATGTTAAGAGCTATTATTGAGTGAGGGGGAAAAATAGAAAACACAACAAACTTACCTGATGAGTAAAAACAGAAAAATGTATGTGAAGAAAAATTGGACTAAGAAAATAGCATTAGCTCACGCCTGTAATCCTAGGTACTCAGAAGACTGAAATCAGAGGCTGAGTTCAAAAACAACCCAGACAGACAAACCTGGAAAACTATTATCTCTAATTAATCAGCAAAAAGCTGGAAGTGGAAATGCGGCTCAAGTGGTAGAAGGCTAGCCTCAAGGGAAAAAGCTAAAGAACAGTGCTGAGGCCCTGCAGTAAGCCCCAGTACTGGCACTAAAAATAAATAGAAACAAAGAGAGAGAAAAAGGAAAATAGCATTTGTCTGAAAATAAAGACCAACCAAGTTTCAAACACAAACAGGAAAGCAAATGCCAATCCCACAGTAGAAGCAAAGAGTAATTAGGAAAGCACAAAGAGGTCAGGCATGGAGGTGAGATGCATGCCTGTAATGCCGCCTATTGTATAGGAGAAGGAGGCAGGAGGGCCACCAGTTCAAGACCAACCTGAACTACACAGGAAGACTCTGTCTTAAAAACCCAAGGGCAAGGCATACTTCTCTGAAGTAGTTTCCTGGCATATGCAAGGCTCTGGGTTTGACCCTCAGCACTGACAAATCGAATAGTTCAGCACAAAAAGAAAACACTTTTTGAGGGAAGTTGGAATAAATTTCTCTCTTTTTTTTAGCTTTAGGAACTATAATGTACATAAATTCATCTCTCATGCACAGCTTATTGCTGGTAAGCTTATGAGCTATACAATTATCACTGTGAGTCAGTCTTAGAAAACTCCTGTCACTTGATAAGATTCTTCCAGCCCATTTCTGCTTGTCCATTGAGAAAAAAGGAGCCTTACTTCTTGTTGGATATGCAAGGTTTGGTTCAGATTAGAATTTATACACAGGTTCTAATCCCAGTTTGCCTACCTTTTGCTTTCCTCTTCATCCATCTGTAACCCAGAAGGTAGAAGGAACAGAAGCTGTGCTGCCCAAGGGGTGACCTTCTATAGAGGGTTGAGGTGGGGAGATCTGTGTCAACATCATTGGGAGAAAGCACTGGAAGTCTTTGAACTCAGAACCTTATGCTTTGCAAGACAGATGCTCTACCACTTGAGCCTCATATCCCTCTTGCCCTTTTTCTGTCAGTCATGAGGCTTGAACTTGGGGTCTGGTCTCTGTCCCTGAGCTCTTTCTGTGCTAGACTAGCACTGTACCACTTTGAATCACAGTGCCATTTTCTGGTGGTTAATTGAAGATAAGAGTCTCATGGACTTTCTTGCATGGGATGGCTTTGAACTGCAATCCTCAGTTCTCAGACTCCTGAGATTACAGGCATGAGCCACCAGCCCTTGGTCCCTTTTGCTTTTCTTTTCTTTAGTTTGCTTTTCAGGTAGTGTCTCATGTGAACTTTACCCAGGTTGGCCTTGGAACACAAACCTTTCATTTCTACCCGAGTAGCAGGTACCACTGGTGTATAACTTCATGACATGGCATATTTGTTAAGTTGGTATCTCACTAATTTTTTTGGATAGGGCTGGCCATGAACCTCCAGTCTTCCTGCCTTTTGCCTTTCAAGTAGTTGGTATTAAAGATATGCAACACCATTTTTGGCTACCTGCTCATACCTGAATGTGTGTACATGCATGTGTCTATGTGTGCGCATGTGATAGTAGTGGGGCTTGAACACGTAACCTCAAATTCTCATTCTTGCTCATCCTTTTTGTGCATGGTTGGTGCTCTACCACTTGAACCACACCACCAAGCCACCATTTTGCTGGTGGATTGGAGGTAGAGTCTCTTAGATTTTTCCTATCTGGGGTGGCTTTGAACTGCAATCCTCCAAATCTCCTCAATTGCGAGGATCACAGGTGTGAACCTGGCTTATTTGCTCCTATTTTTAATAAGGTTGTTCACTGTGCAAGAAGGTGGCTGGAAAGGAAACTCAACTCCCACCAAATCTGGTGCCTTTCATCTGAGTCTGATTCCAACTGCCCCTGCCCATAAACCCTGCTTCCTCAACCCCCACACACCATCTACAGCCCAGCTTTCCATTTCCAAGAAAAGAAAGGGGAAAAATAATGTCTCTACTTCTCAATCTGATGCTCAGCGCTGTTTCCAATTTCTGGATGATTTCGAGGGAAGGATACTTGTTTTCTCTGTAAACCCTGCAGTTCTACGGGCTGCAGATTTTCTCAGAACCATCTGAAGCTGGCAGGAGGACTTAGAGCCTGGTCTGTGAGACAGGATGCCCAGGAATTGTTCGTTCTGCTGTCAGCCTTGAGCAGTGTACAGGGAAGATCTTGCCACAGGCTTTGTGCTGTACCAGGCCACCTACACATGTCTGCCCACGAGAGAGCATGCTCTGAACAATGTTCTTAATGTCTGCACAAATGGTTCCTTTCTCCATCAGGAAGTCTGTCTCCAAAGGAAAATTTGAAACATTGTCAGGTATTCTTCCTTGACCTGGTGAGTGATCATCGTTTTAATTAATGCTTTCTGTCTTTCTTTTTTTTTTCTAGCTGAACTACTATGACTCTATGAAAGCCATCATTTCCAGCTCCAACCACGAGCCCACAGCTCTAGTAATAGGTACTGTGTGGACCATGTTCTCTTTCTGGGTGTGGGATCCTTCAAGGTCCTCCAACTTTATAGTTTCTGCATTGCAGGAGGCATCGCACACTGCTAGTGTCCTGAGAAGGCTCAAAACAGACATTGCATCTGCTTGGTTTAGCTTTAGTTTTCTAAGTCCACTATGAGCCAGCTAGAGAGAGAAAGATGGAAACAGAGACAGAGACAAAGTGACAGAGACAAAGATAGAGGGAAACAGAGAAAGATAGACACAGACAGACAGAGAGTCAAAGACAGACAGAGAGAAACAGAGACAGAGACATAGGGACAATGAAACAGAGACAGAGACAGAGAGATAGAGAGAGAAGACCTAACAGAGAGATTGAGAAGACACTAGGAGCTTGAATCATACATGTTTAACTGAAATATGAACAAATTCACTCAAATCAATGTCAACCTCCCTGTTGAATGGATACCACATGATTTTCACTGAATAGGAATCCAACATAAAACCATCCTAATGGGGGCATACTCAAGAAATGGAATGTAGGAATTGAAGAGTTTAAAAAACATGAAAGATTGACATTTTCAAAAAAAGGAAGAAATAAATGTGCTCATTATCTGACTTATGAAATGGCAACCCCTCTGTATAACACTTTACTAATAACAATAAATGATATATTTTTTAAAAAAGCATGATGATCCAACACTTAGAAAGTCTGGGAGCTGGTGAATCTCAAGAAGGACAAGTAAACGCTCAGCTTCCCATTCACCCTTCAGTCTTAAGGATGCCCCCAAGATCTTAGTTCATTTATTAAGGCTATCACAGAATGCCACAGACTAGGTAACTTATAAAAGAAAAACAGTATTAGAAACATGGTTCAGGAAGTTGGGAAGCCCAAGAGTAGGAGCAACAGATTCTAGAGAGGGCTTTCATGCTGCATTGATTGAGGTCAGAAGAGTTCACTTTTATAACAAAACCATTGGTGTTATAAATGACCTCTCCCAGCCAGGTACTGGTGGCTCTCTCCTGAAATCAAAACCACAAAGGAGGGTTAGATCTGGAATATCGAGGTAAGAGGCCAGCCTGGACAGAGACACCTTCTAGACTCTGTTTCTTAAAAGTGAGCAAATGCCAGGGTATAGGCATGGTGAAGTGAGCTTGTGCCGACTAGATAAGCAAGTCCCCAGGAAGTGTGAGGCCCAGGGTTCAAACTCCAGTACAAAGAACTGGCCTCTCCCAAGAAAGCAACGAACTAAACACCTTTGTTAAGACCAATCTCACTATTTCTCTTTGAATCTCACTATTTGACTTTGAATTCGGGGCTTTGCACTTGCTAAGCAAGCACTCTACTTCTTTAACCACACTTGCAGCCTTTTTCTCTTTCTTTGCTTTTGTTAATTTTTAGATAGGGTCTTACGTTTTTGCCCAGGGAAAGCCTCACTCAGACCACAATATCCCTACCTGTGGCCTCCCACGTAGGTGGAATCATACATATATACCACCATACCTGACTCATTGAGATGGAGTCCCCTAACTGGCTTTGATCTTCCTGATCTCTGCCACCCTAGTAATTGAGAGTATAGGAATGAGCCAATGTGCTCAGGGTAAGATTCTAACACATTTAATTTTATGAGGGACATAGTCAAACCATAGTTCTCCAGTGAGCAGCTACAATTATGAATAGACTTGATCAAGCTGAACTTAGGGTGAATGGGTGGTTCCGTGTGATGCAATGTGGGGGAAGGTCATTGGTCTGGAAGAAACTGAAGACTTGACATCCTGGCCTTGGATGTACTTTAAGAGGTCAGACTGGTCCAAATTTGAGGCAGGAATCTAATGTCTTTATGTTACGCCATTCCCCAGATTCCAGTTCATCATCTGAAATAGAAGCAGCCTCTGCCTGTCCCTGGAGCTTCCTAACTGGAATACTTCCTTAAGATGAGGCTCCAACCTACACCTTCTGCACATTGTATTTTGTGTCCATAACAATCTGTGGCTCATAGCCCACAAATCCAGCTCTTCCTCTCACCTTACAGAGTAGTTACAGCACTGCTCAGATCTTTTCTTTTACCACAACAATAGAAATCCTAAACTAAAAACTGAATTAAGCTAAAGAAAGGGTTTGAGATGTCTAATCTAACACAGGAAGGGCAGGGGAGCAAAGCAGCCCCACATTGGAGAATTAGGAGGTGATTGTATTATAAGAATACCAACATCATCAGTGGCTTCCTCCACTGGTGAATTCACACTGTATGGGGTATTAGGAGATGAGGCCTGAGGAGAACTATCTTGTCTTGGCCTTTCCTGTCTCTTTGCTTCCTGGCTGCCACTTAGTGAGCAGCTTTCCTTCCCCATGCTCTTCCCTCATAATGTTTCTGCCTTGGAACAGACATAAAAGCAATGGAGCCCAACAAGCCACCAGAAACCTTCCAAAACAGTAGTCAAAATAAATCCTTTTCTAATCCAGGTGCCAGTGGCTCATACCTGCATTCCTAGCTACTCAGGAGGCTGAGAACTGAGGGTCAAGGTTCACAATCAGCTCAGGCAGCAAAGTCCACAAAACTCTTAACTACCATAAACTACTAAAAATCCAGATATAGAGCAGTGGTGGCTCAAGTGGTAAAACATCAGTATTGAACAAAAAAGACTAAGAGACAATGTCCTGGTCCTGAATTCAAGTCCCATACACACATGCACGTGCGTGTGCACGCGCGTACACACACACACTTTCTCCCTTAAGTTACTTCTTCATATATGTTGTCCCATCAAAACCATAATAAGTCTGGTAGTGCCCATCATGCTGCAGGAGTAGTATAAAGGGAGCATGCTTCCCATAGTAGGGACAGGAGGGAGATTTACTAATGACAGAAAGCAGTAAAGAGTGACTGCTTCACAAGTCACAAAGTACGAAAGGGGAGGCCCAGCACTGGAACCACAATATGATTTGAATCTGAAACATCCTCTGAAAGTTTATGCAGGACAGGCTTGGTCCCCACTGCAGCAGTGCTCTGAGGTTTGGACCAAGAGGGCTCCAACCTCATCAGTGGATGACTTCCTTGACGGGCTCATAGCTTCATGGGCTATTGGGAGGTAGGAGAAATTTTAGGATGTGAGACCTCATTGGAGGAAGTAAGTCATGAGGGGTGTGGCCTTGGAGGGTTTATTTTATCCCTGCTGCTTCCTCTTTTATTCTTTATTCCACCGGAAATCCCCAACCCTACTGTGCTGTTCTGATCACCACAGCCCAAAAACTGTGGAGTGAAACCTTTAACTGTGGCCCACATCTCCTTTTAAGCTGATTGTTTCAGCTGACCAATGCAGAAGCTCTACCCTCATACTGTGGAATCATGAGAATACAAACATTTCATTTTCTCAGATAATGAGGCTTAATTAGCATCAAGGCCTCATGCTTGTTTGGCTTGGGTTTGCTCAGCTGATGCTTTACTACTGGAGCCACCACTAGCCCAGGTTTCTGCTGATTATTCTGGAGAATAGTCAGCCCAAGCCGGCCACAAATCTTGATCTTCCATATCTCAGCCATCTTAGTAGCTAAGAATACAGATGAGAGCCATCCATGCCCAGTTTAACATTAATGTTTAATACCTTGAATACCTTCTTAACACTTTATGCTTACTTCATTAAATTTCATAATTACTTTGTGAAGCTCTTGAGAATGTGTTAGAAGCCCTATCCAATTAAGCATCATCACTATGGTTATCTCTAATTTTCAAGTCCATCGTGATGGTGGTTGCTTTTATGGTTTGACACTTAGTAATTTAAAGCAATCTCAGATTCTCCAGTGGTTCTCTGTTTGAGGTACCCATTAGAACCACCTGTGGGACTTTACAAAATCTGGTTACTTGAGTTTTACCCTCAGAGAGTTTGACTTAATTAGTCAGCGATAAAACCTAGGTCTTGCCACTTTGGAAAGTCCCCACAGTGATTAGACAGGGACATGTGATTCACAGGGATATAGTCAGGGCATCTGCATTGCTCAGATGCTCTGTAGTAACTTTGATTTGCAGCCAAGATGAAGATTCAACCACATGTACTACCCTACTGGATCAGAACAGCGGTAAAGGAAAGTGTGAATAGTACGCATCCCCATTTTATAGATGAAAACATAGCAATGGCAAGTTTGCTGAGCAGGTCCCTTCGCTGGAAAGTTTGAGATTGAATCTGGATTCCAGTCCTACCAACTTCAAGGCAGTGGACCACCTAACATCATTGGGCTTGGGTTGGTAAAACCCCTTAGGTCTAGGATCTAGATCTAAGGTTTTTACCTAGGTCATCAGGACAGCATAGGACAGGTCTAGGAAAGCCTAGATCCATGGCTCCACTTCCGGGTTTTTTGGTGAATAATTGGAGATAAGAGTCCATGAACATTTCCTACCAGGGATGGTAGGAAATGAGCCACCAGCTCTGAGCATAAGGAACTTCTGGCCTTGAAACAGAACAAGTCTTTGTGCCCAGAGGAAAGATGTGATCATCATCCCTTGGTTATTGAAGAAGTTGATATTGCCAGTATAATTGGTCTGAGCTGCTGCCTAGTGAGCTCTGATTGGACTTCTTGCAGACCTGAATAACCTCAGGTGCTTTGAAAATGAGCCAGTGAAGAACCCCAAAACACACTCGTATGTGTGCTGGCTGCCAAGCCCACACAACAGGCAGGAAAAAGAAGTGATGAAGTAAGTCCTGAGTTGTGGGCAGGCATGAGCCATGTTACAGGTTACCATGAGCCTGGTCCAGGATGAACCACGTGTGCAACAGTATGTCCTAGTACCTGGAGACATCATAGCTGTCATGATGGAGCTGTTGTCCTGTAGCTGCAGTGATGGTGCTATTGTTATGGAGCTGTGATGGAGCTGTCTTGATGGATCTGTCATGATGAAGCTGTAATGACATTGTCGTGATGAAGCTGTGGTGATGGAACCATTGCTATGGAGCTGTCATGCTATAGCTATCTTGAGGGCCCTGTCATGATGAAGCTGTAATGGATGCTGTAATTCATCTGCCATGATGAAGCAGTTGTCATGTAATTGTCATGGTGTAGCGTTAGTGAAGCTATTGTGATGAAGCTGTCAGGATGGAGCTATCATTACGTAGCTGTCATGATGAAGCTGTAATCAGGCTGTCATGTAGACTCCTTGATGAAGCTGTCACGATGAAGCTACATGTGATGGAACAGTTGTCAGGTAGCTGCAGTGATAAAGCTGTCATGTTGGAGCTGTTGTGATGGTGTTGTGAACAGCTTCCTGCACCATGTTGTATAAAAGTGAGAGTGTGCCGGTATAGCTAACCAGCATATAATACCTGATCGTGAGAGGAAGGCTTTGATGTTTGTTAGACTTCACTTTTATTGTTACTTTTATCACAAATTCCTCCTACTTATAAAATATTTACTTTAAATGGCATGCATGCTCTCCTAGAAGCTGCACTCTACATCTCTCAGTGACTTCAAGATACCATGTGGAGTGATCGCCCTATACTCCCAAGGAAATACCTAAGGATGCAGTTCTCAGGAGCGTGTTGTTGCTAAGCAACATGTACCTTTTACCCACCTGTGTCCCTTTTTACCTCCTCCTTCCTGCACCATCCCACATTCCACCTTGGACTTTAAGGATTGAGTGTCTTCTGGGAGCTGGTAGTTCATGCCTGTAAGCCTATACTTAGGAGGCTGAGAACTGAGGATCATGATTCAAAGCCAACCTAGGAAGAAAAGTCTGTGAGACTCTTATCTCCAATTAACCACCAAAAACTGGAAGTGGAGTTGTGGCTCAAGGTAAAGCACCATCCTTGAGGGAAAAGGCTAAGTGTAAGTATGAGGCCCTGAGTTCAAGTCCCAATCATAGCATAAAAGGGAAGGGGTTGCTGGTTGTAGTTCACCAAGCAAGGTACCTGTAAACCATATTAAGACCCTTTGCAGTGGTTCATTAGTTATCACTCATGTAAGCATGCCAGCCATTTCTTTTATGATGCCTTCCAATAGAGCTGGGTCTGGGCCTTTCTAAGTCTCCAGAAAAGCTGAAATCTGAGTTTCCTCTTCTTAATCCTTCAAAATCTAATTTCATTTGGCACAGAACATCATGGAAAATCAATAATGCTTATGCCAAGGTCTCAGCTTCCTGTGAAATACCACCTTGATCCTTTCTTCACAGCGATCTTCCTGAAGGCCCTTTCCAGCTCCCTGATTCATAGCCTGAGAACTCACATCATCTTTCAAATAAAGCTTCCTTTATAAATGTCTGATTTACTACAGTTAAATCATCAAAGGGTTAAAAAGAAATGTGTGGTGGTTACTTTTATTAAGGACTTCCATTAGACTTTCTTGGAACTCGGGGATTTGGTTTTCTAGAATACTGATGGGTTTAAATTCTAAGAAATTGAGATTTAGCTTTTGGAGGCTGAAGCAGCCTCAGTATTTGTTTGGGCAGATGAAAAGCAATGCCTTCAGGGAAAAGAACAGGGACTTCTAGCCCTGGCTCACTTTTTAACAGCCCTGTAATGTGGGTTCCTGTTTTCCTTCCAGCTCACTTAGGAGCTATGGTTTGGATGTGATTTGAGTGTGTCCTATAAAGACTCAGGTACTGAAGACTTGGTCCCCAAGATACTAATGTTGAGAGACCCAGGATCCTTTGAGGAGGAGGGGCCTAATGGGAAGTGGATAGGTGATTAGTACATCACCTTGGAAGGGATTGATGCAGTTCTCATAAGACCCTGATTAGTTCCTAAGATCAAGCTGTTAGACAAAGAGCAGGACGGGCCCTTCCCCATTCTTATTCCTGTCTCTAGACACGATCTCTCACATGTGATTTCACCATGTGATCTCATACATGTAATCTCTTACATGTAATTGATCTCTCACATGTACCCCCACTGTGATGCCTTTCACCAGGCTGTGCTGTCCCCTCAGAATGTAAGAAATGGAATGCCTCATCTTGGGTTTTCAGTCTCTAAAATTGTGAGCTACAGTAACCTGTTTACTTCCTAAGTACATAGATTCAGGTGTTTTGTCACAGTTACAGGAAACACCAGTACAATAAGAAAGTTGATAGAGCTCTAAAGGATGATCCCTCCAGTTCACATTCACCAGGTCCTCATTCTGCCGAAAGAGGCCTGTCCATCCTTCCTCCTTCTTGTATCAAGAAAAGAGAGGCCAATGAAATTGCTTACAGTTCCCAACTGCTGTGATTCCATCAAACAAATATTTCTCAAGCCTTAGATACCCAAGTTATAGCAAAGACTAGCCCCCAAATCAACATTATTGTTCTTATGAGTTTCATTTGACTCTCATCTCCAATTAACCAGCAAAAAGCTGGAAGTAGACATGTGGTTCAAGTGGTAGAGTGCTGGCCATGAACCAGAAATCTAAACAAAAGCTAAGCCCTGAGTTCAAGCCCCCTGGCACACAGAGAAAAGATCCTCTTTTATGTCCTCCTGAACTCCAAAACTTGGCATATAGTCAGCTACTTATTTCCTGCTCTCCTTTGCATTTACCCTGTGCAAGGAAAACTGTAACTGAAAATATGAATGCCTACAGACTTCTTAAGTTTAAAGTTCCATTTAGCACTGTTGTTTATTTAGCCAAGTCTCTTGATTCATGTGTGTGTGTGAGTGTGTGTGTGTATGTGTGCGTGCACGCGCGTGTGCGAGCGCATGCCAGGACTAGGGCTTGAACTCAGAGTTTTGTGTCCCTCCTTTGGCCTTTTCTGTTCTAAGTTGGAGCTCTATTTGAGGGACATCTCCACTCTGGCTTTTTGCTGGTTAACGAGGGATAAGAGTCTCACGAACTTTTCTGCTCAGACTGGCTTTGAATCATGATCCTTAAATCTCAGACTTCTGAGTAGTTAGAATTATAGGTGTGAACCAGTAGTCACTGGATACCCTTGCATCAGTTTTTGTAATTAATATATAATAAGCAAAGGGGACATTATATTGGTCAAAGTCACAGGGAAATCAAGGCTGGGCTTTGAGTGTGTTGTGTTTTGCAAATGGTAACTGTGGGCTGATTTTGTGACCACAGATCCATGGGCAATGCCAGTCTGTGGAAACTAGGATAGAAAAGAGGGATACAGTACAGTAAAGAATAGGCAAGAGAAGTCTCCATATCTAACATGATTCAGACAGATTAAAGGTCTGATCTTCAGGGGGTGACAACTCATGGTATGCTATTAGCTCATAAGTATGTTGGTGTCACCTTAGTCATCCTGTTACTAGTGGCACACTGGACTATCAGAATTAATGTCCCATCAGGACCCCAGCCCCTGAAGATTTGCCTGTATGTTAGTGTGCCTTGAATCTGTTTTAGGTTTCCATGGCAATTGCTTAAACTTTTCATCTTCCTTCAGACCTTGGAGAAGCACTATGCTCTCAGTTTCTATGACAACCATATAAACCGGTATCTCTGTCTGGCTCTATTGAAATAGAACACGAGAGATAGTGCAAATGAATTGGCTGCTCTCCCTTACTTGAAAAAATTAATAAATAAAATAAAAAATGAAGTGATACACCTGCTTAGAAGTTTTGGGTCACAAGAAGGGCAAACATGTCAGACTGTTCTCTGAGCTGCAAGTGCTGTTTTGTTTGTAATTTTTATTTTTGATACTTAGAGTGCTCACCTAGATTCTTGAGCTCACCCTGTCATCTTGTGTAATTATCAATCTGCCTTCCCCTCTGCTTGACAGCAGCAGACCTGCAAGTTCAAAGCTGTTTCCCTTCCTACTGAATATCAAAGGAGTAGAGGAAAGCAGGACAGAATGACTAGTCAGTCACCCTACCCAACATAGCCCTTCCACTGTGGAAAAATGAGCAGGGTCACCAGCTCAATTCACCATCAACATATTGACCCAAGGTGGCTCAGGACTTGGATTAGAGCCCATGGATAATGTGGAAATTCCATCCTGGCCATTCAGATATGACTCTACACTCTCTGGCTGGATTCATACCATGGAGAGCAGCCACCCACCATTTCACAAGCCTCACGCCTGTAATCCTAGCTACTCAGGAGACTGAGATCTAAGAATTGTGGTTTGAAACCAGTCCTGGAAGGAAAGTCCATGAGACTCTTATCTCCAATTAACCACCAAAAAAGCCAGAAGTAGAACTGTAACTCAAGTGGTAGAGTGATAACATTGATAAAAAAAAATCTAAGCAAAAGTGTGAGCCCCTGAGTTCAAGCCCGCTCTCCCCACAACAAAACAAAACAAAACGAAAACCTGGTTTTGTTTTCTGCGACTATTTTTAGGGTGCACATTGGGAACGACAAATGTCAAGCAAAAGATGAAAGAGATGATACATGTGGGAAAAGATGTCAAAATCAGGGAAGGCTCGGCCTCTCCCGCCGTGCCTCAAAAACGGGCAGAATGGGATCAAATGGTTTTTCACATCTATAAAGGAGTCAAAGTGTTTTCGTTCTGCAAGAGAAAGAACTTGCTGCTGACGGGTGGCATGGATCGGATCATTAGAGTCTGGAATCCCTATATGCCCAGGTAAGCTGGCTTTCTCCAGTCAACAGTACCAATGATGTAGCAAGCTTATTAAAAGCAGAACAGGACGGGCTGGGAAGGTGGCTCAGTAGTAGAGCGCTTGCCTTGCATGCATGAGGCCCTGGGTTCGATTCCTCAGCACCACATAAGCAGAAAAAGCTGGAAGTGGCGCTGTAGCTCAAGTGGTAGAGCGCTAGTCTTGAGCTGAAGAGCTGAGGGACAGTGCCCAGGCCCAGAGTTCCGGCTCCACAACCAGACCCAAAATAATAATAATAATAATAATAATAATAATAAAAGCAGAACTGGAGATCCAGTAATGGAATAATAATCCCTATCCAAAAATTAATCTTCCATACACACTGCCTAAGAAATTTCTGCTTATGGACTTTGAAGATTCATTCCTTGAGCTTTATTACACTTCATTTCAAAGGTAAATGCCTTGTGCCAGTCGCCAGTGGTTCATGCCAAAATCCAATTCAGGAAGCTGAGATCTGAGAATTGTGGTTTGGAGACAGCCCTAGGCAAACACATCCAAGCAACTCACCTCTAGTTGACTGGCAAAAAGCCAGAAGAGGAGCTGTAGCTCAAGTGGCAGAGCACTAACCTTTAATGGAAAAGCTCAGTACATTGTCCAGATCCTGAATTCAAGCCCTACCTCTCCTCCCCCATGAACACACACACACACACACACACACACACGGTAAATGTCTTGTAAAGCCATCATTCATCCATATCTCAGCACCATTCCTTTCAGCAGACTGCTATCGTCCTTACACTGAACCCCTATCAGCACTACAGTTATGGATTTTGAGGTGTAATCAATGTATTTTTAGGTAGCTCCATCAGGTGACTCCCAAGTGCACCCTCAGTGGATTGTTTAGTTTTATTCAATTTACAATGCTATCATGCCTAAATATGGCAGCATTAACAGAAAAGGGAAGTATCATTTCTGGATTGTGTGTGTGTGTGTGTGTGTGTGTGTGTGTGTGTGTGTGTGTGTGTCTATCATGGGGCTTGAACTCAGGGCCTGAGCACTGTCCCTGAGCTTTTTTGCTCAAGGCCAGTGCTCTACCACTGGAGCAACAGCTCCACTTCCCACATTTTTTGATAGTTTATTGGTAATTTTTTGAGATAAGAGTCTCACAGACTTTCCTGCCCAGGCTAATTTTGAACTGCAATCTTCAGATCTCAGCATCCTGAGCAGCTAAGATTACAGGCATGAGCCACGAGTACCCAGTAAAGGATCATTTCTTGATGTAAGAAATTGGAGATTGCTCTGGAAAGCCTGGCATTTGGGTAGCAAGGTACCAAATAGTATAGCCATTTGTGTGTGGCCATCAGACTCTGAAATCAGCCACAGACTTTTCATGATAAGCCAAGCTGAGCAGATGTTCTAGGGTACTTCCTAAGTGATAATAATGACTACCATTTTACTAAGCACCTACTCTGTTCCTAGACCTGTGCAACACATACATTTCACTGTCTCTGCTCCTCGTGTCAACTTCACTTACAAACAACAATGCAGCTGGAGCCCTGAGAAATTCAGTGGCTTCCTGGAGGCCATGGAAGAATGGAAGTCTAAAGGCAGCTTTGTCATTTCTATCACAATATGCCGTAGATGGGGAGAAGAGAGAGAAATGAGAGTTCCTTCCTGCCTTGAGGTGGGAAGTTAGGGCAGGGCAGGAGCCACATGGCACACGTGGCATAATATTCTTGGCATAGCACTCTGGGGACACACAAGAGAAGCCTGCATCTCTCAGGGATGCAGGAGTTAGCCAAGATGATACAGACAGATGGGCTCTGATTGCTGTCCTCCCATTGCCTAGCCAAGGACAATCTGATCAGATGCTAGTGCCTCAGTTACCCCATATATAATGGTGACCAGAAAATCTGCCTCCTCAGATAGCACTTCAGAATTAAAAATGAAATAATCCACCTGAAACACTCAGCGGAGTGTCAGATACATAATAAGAAGACAATTATCTTCTATACCCACTTCTACTCCTTTAGATTCTCATTTGTACAATTTTCTCAACTCTTGGTTATAAAAAGGTTGCGCCTCTCACTGTCTCCTCCTTCTCCCACACCCAGCCCTGAGCTTCTGCAAGGGTCCTGGGATTCCTTCACATAAGCTTCTATTGCAAAGCCCAGGTTTTAATACTGTTCACTCCACCTGCACAAAGAAAGGTGACATGGTCACCACTCCAGTCCCAGCTTGGGCTCTTGCTGGAGTCCTCTTACACAGGTATCACCAGTAGTCAGAGAAACAACACCCTAGGTTCTGTTGCACTAATGGGTTTATCACACAAGATAGCTCCATGTGATTCCAAAACACAACCCTCCTCCATGATGAACAGAACTGCCAGATCTAAGCCAAGTTGTGTTTTCCATTTTTAGATAGTACAGACCAACCTGCATTGTGCTCATCGGTTCCTTTTCCATTCTAGAAAGCCAACAGGTATGCTGAGAAGCCACACGGCCCCTGTGAGCTACATCCACATCTCCTCGGAGGACAGCAAAATATTTTCTATGTCCATCGACAACACTGTCAAGGTGTGTCTCCTTTTACATTTCATGCATGCCTTCTCTAGGCCAGTTTCAACAGAGAGGTACCCCTTCCCCTGCACTCCCCTGCCCTGGACCGTTGGAGGGGCCTCTCCCCCTGTGGGGCACAGGTGTGTGAGTTTCTCTGGAAGAGGAGCTCTGCAGTCAACTGAACACTTCAGGCCTTCATGCCTGGTGCTTTGTGTAGGGCTGAGTGGACCTTCCAGCATGGAGGCCCCTGCATGCACACATGCCAAATACATCCTGGTGCATACCTCTCCTGTGTATTGCAGGGTAGAGAAAGGGAGCTACAGAGAGAACAGAAACCTCAAGAAGACAAGAATGCTACTAGTATCAGTAATAATATCTGATATGGTGTGTGTGGGGGTGTGTATGTGTGGGTGCATGTGTATGCTGGTACTGGACTTGAACTTGAGGCTTCTAGTTCTGGCTTGGATTTTTTGTTGTTGTTGTTCAAAACTGGCATGCTACCACTTGACCCATACCTCCATTTCCTGCTTTTTAGTGATTAATTGGAGATGAGTCTCATGAACTTTTCTGTCCAAGCTGATTTTGAACCATGATCCTCAAATCTTAGCCTCCTGAGTAGCCAGGATCACAGGAGTGAGCCACAAGTGCCCAGCCTTTAATATTTTCTTATTTTAAACTATATGGAGAGCAAGTGGGCCCTTTCTGAAAGGTAATAAACATTCTGGTGGAGGAATTAACACCACCATCTCATTTTGCTTGCCTCCCTTCCTATTTTTATACCACAAGCTCTGTCCACCTTTAAAATTAGGTTCTCTCATGCCTTTCACAATACAATCTTTTTGTTTTTGATGACACCAGAGGTGTGAACTCAGGGCCTTGGACTTACTAGGCAGGCTCTCTACCACTTGCGCTATGCCCCAGCCCTGCAATTCACTCTGATTTTACAAAAAGAAGTTTCACTAATTACATCCTCCATCCATCATTATGATCACCTTTTTCCATGAACAGGACAAGTTTTCACCAGCCATCCATCCTAAAGTGAGAACTTTAGGGAAGAGACCAATGTCACACCAGCTTGCTAATCCCTCAGAGCATAAATGACTGAGGGATATTGAGGGTTGAATTGTGTTCCCTTCTCCAGATTCATCTGTTGAAGTTCTAATCCTCAGTGCCTAGAACGTGGCAGTATTTTAGAAACAGGGCCTTTAAAGAAAAAAGATTGTCCATTTGGCTCTGATCCAGTATGATTAGAAGCCTATGAAAAGACACTAGGAAAATCTAGATTGAGGAGTGAGCATACAAAGTCACAGTAAAAACTGTAGCCACATGCAAGCCAAGGAACAGCCCCATCAAAAAAAAATCAGTTCCACTGCCTCCTTGATCATTGACTGGAAGAAAATACTTTTTTTGTTGGTTAAGTCACCCATAGGAAGGTGTTGGCACCCCTAGAAACTGACGCCGTAGATTTACCTACTCTGTGAGCCTAGGAATGATCCAGGCCTGTATCATTCATTCCATCTACAAATCTACCAAGTGCTTGCCACGTGCCAACAGTGGTCCAGGTTCAAAGACAAAGGAAGTGATAGAAGTCCCTGTTTTCATGGAGGTGATGATCCAGAGGATCAAGTCATATAGAGAATTACAAAATAAACTAACAAATATGCTCAGTGGTGATAGGTGCTACTGAGGACCGTAAGGCATAAAGTTAGGAAGTTCAGGGCTGAACATTCCATGGAAATTTTAGGCAGGAAGTAAGGAAAGAGCTGAACATTATGGAAAAATTATTTTGTGTTTTCTACAGGTTGGTTTAGGAATGACCGCAGTAAGATGACAAGAGGGAAAATGAAGGGAAACACTATGCATTTATGTGCAAAATTAAAAATGAAAGAGAGACAGAGAGACAGAATTGAAGGCATGCAAACAATAAGCATAAAGACCCTGAGGTGGAGGCTGGTAGGAGATGAGATTGGAGGGGAATCAGGAAAGCATGAGGAGGTAGATTGTGGAGAGTCATGCAGGCCTTCATATGGGCTTTCATTTGTCGTCATGCATTTGTATGCTACTTGGAGTTGTGATTCATAGGAGTGACATGACTTACACCAGGTTTTGAGTAGATCATCAAGGTTCAGGGCAGACACAAGGAGAATAGTCTGGAAGTTTCTGTAGCAGCCTGTTTGAGGATGTAGTGCCAGCACACAGATCAACAACCCCTTCCTCACAGTTTCACAATTAGTGGAACTGTGGCCAGATTTATTTGGCCACAGAACTTAGCTTGGACTCCTTGAATTTATTTGAGTGTTTTGATCTCACTTGGATTTTGCCACAGAAATGTGTCTGACTGGGGGTTTCTGTCAGAGACTCCATTTAGGTGTTATATCTTTTTTGGGGGGGTCCAGTCGTGGGGCCTGAACTCTGGGCCTGGGTGCTGTCCCTCACTTCAGCTCAAGGCTAGTGCTCTACCACTTGAGTCACAGCGCCACTTCCAGATTTTTTCTTTTTGCTTATGTGGTGCTGGGGAATCGAAACCAGGGCCTCAGGCATGTAAGGCAAGCGCTCTACCACTGAGCCACCTTCCCAGCCCCTAGGTGTTATATCTTATATGTCTATCCAAAATTCAAAATCATTCAAATTCCACAACACATCTAGCCCAAAGAGTTTTAGATTAATGGATTGAAAAAGAGGGAAAAAAGGATTTAGTGATGTAGAAGAGAAACTTCTAGAAGTAAGAGAGGAAACACAAATACATGATGTACTACTTAAACCTATGGGCTACATTTAAGACAATCCTTACAGAGAGGTTTCTAGATAAAGGCCCCTGCAAATAAAGAAGATTTTTAAATCAATGTAACTTTCCACATTAAGATACTTGAGAAAGAAGAGCAAACTAAACCCAAAGCAAGCTGAAGGAAGTAAATAATAAAGATTAGAGATTAAATAAAATAGAAAAACAACAGACAGGGCTGGGAAGGTGGCTCAGTGGTAGAGCGCTTGCCTTGCATGCATGAGGCCCTGGGTTCGATTCCTCAGCACCACATAAGCAAAAAGCAAAAAGCCGGAAGTGGTGCTGTGGCTCAGTTGGTAGAACGCTAGCCTTGAGCTGAAGAGCTGAGGGACAGTGTCCAGGCCCAGAGTTCAGGCCCCACGACCGGACCCCCCAAAAAAGAAAAACAACAGACAGAACCAACAGAACTGAAAAGTGGTTCATTATAAGAACATCAACCAGATCGATAAACTTTGATCAAGCTTGATTAAGGGAAGGAAAAGAGAAGACTCAAATTACTAAAAATCAAGAATGAGAAAAGGAACATTATTACCCCCTTCCAAAAATAAAAAGGATTCTAAGGTAATGCCAGCAATTGCAATGCCAACAGATTTGGCAACCTACAAAGAATTATATGCATTTCTAAAAAGACACAAAGTATAAAAACTGACTCAAGAAGAAAAAGAATAAGTATACTTATAATAAATAAAGAGATGGAATTATTCAAAACCACAAAACCACCTACTATTTTATTCGTATGAAGAACTCAAGCCACAGAGACAGAAAAGGGTTTCGTAATTGCCAAAGGCTAGGGTAAGGTAGAGCATGGAAAGGATGCAATGAGTATAGATTTGGGGGGGAGGGGAAGTGGGGTGTAATACTTTAAAATCAGATAGTAGTCATGGCTGACACCTCATGGAAATACTGGTCTGTTTATTGACACACATTAAAAATGGGAATTTTGTGGTATATAAATTTTATTGCAATAAAGTTATTTCTTAAGGAAGAAGACCAATAGTCAGAAGATGACACCAAGGCTTGGAGTCTGAGCAAAAAAAAAATGCAATAGAGAATAAGATGGGTAAGATCAGGCGCTCAGTTGTAGATGCATTGAACAAAGTTGCTCTGAGTCTAGAGGGATTCAGATTTAAATGCTTCTAACATTAGCATTTAGATGGAATTTTAAGCCATGGACAGGATGAGTTGGGAAGGGAAGGACTGAGGCAATGAGCAGAGGAGGGGAAATAAAGCCCTTCAAAGGTGGTTTGCTGAGGCCCTGTGATGAAATGGGGTTGTCCTTTGTGTGTCCAATATGGCTCCTGGATCATGAACTCATCAGGTCATTTCTCCTGGGGAGGATGAGGATACTTTATAGAAAACTTGGGTGTCACAATCATAGTCAGATAGAGCTGGAGCCCAGACTCAGTTCAGTCCTTCTCAGTAAGCTTGATTCCAATGGAAAGATTTATGAATTTTTGGTGTTTGATTTATTCTGAAAATCAGCTTCATCCAGTGGTTTCATCTGAAATCAGGAAGCTGCAGGCTTATAATGTTTAATGAGCTTGGCTTTCTTTTCAAAACTTGTGGTCCTCTGGTAACAATAATTCTGTATGTGGGACCACATCCTCAATCTTATTTGCTTTTCCCAGGGCCTCTCCATTTCCTCCCAATCTAAACTCATGATTACAAGATTAGCATCATGCCTGTGATGATTCCAGCACATTGAACAGTTTCCCAATGTGTATTTAAAAATGTATTGAAATTCCATCATGGAAATGTGGTGTGTAAGTTATTTCTGAATATATTATTCCCCTCAAATAAAAACTAATCAAGTAAGAGCCAAACAGCTAGAGTTGGTCTGATCAGACAGTCGTCAGTCTTTTGAATGGATTTTTCAGCCCAAATCTTTCAGTTCTTTAAATCATGGTGAAACACAAAACACTCCAGGAGTTTGCTGGTTTTCTGGCATTCTCTGACAGCAAGTGAAGTGACAGATTCAGATTTCCTTTTTTACTTATTTTCTGTAAATTTAACATTACAAACCACAAAGAGGGCTGTTTAGTCTCAGCTAGAGTTCGGCTGCAAAGGAAGTTATTTCTTGGAAGGAAGATAGCATGATGTACTGGGTAGCATAAGAAATAAAGCCCATGCTCTCTATAGGTTAAAGGCACTAGAAGGTGGTTTCTGTCTACTGTAATGATCCAATGTTAATGATAGAGCCAGCTCTATCCAGCTGAGAGACCCAATCTCCCTTAGGTTCTCATCCACATGCTTCATCCACATGCTAGTGGTATAAGAATAGAGAAGACACAGCCATCTCTTTAAACAAGTGATAGTAAGGCACTGGTGGGTCATGTCTATAATCCTAGATATTCAAGAGGTTGAGATCTAAGGATTGTAGTTTGAAACCAGGCCAGGCAAGAAAATCTGTGAGACTCTTATCTCCAATTAATCATCAAAATGCAAGATATAGAGGTATGGCTCAAGTAGTAGAGCACCAGCCTTAAGCAAAACAAACATCCAGGCCCTAAGTTCAAACCCCAGTATTAGAGCACATACACACATACATCACTACCTTTCCCAGTCTACTGCTAAGTTCAGGACCACCCTGAGTGAAAGTTTGGCTGTCACTTCCCAGCAACAATTCTACATGTGAACAAAGAAGTATGGATTCAGGGAGGTGGTGAAAAGCTTTAGATACATCCGGCCATGAGTCTAAACTCTGAAACCACCACAAGTTAGATGACCTTGGGTGAATTATTCAATCCTCTAAATGAAGTAACTTAATTCTTCAGGCATTAGTTTCATCTTTGCCAAATTGAGGGCAAGATCCACTTTGAGGGATAGTTGGCTCACCATAGGCTATGTATAAGTTGCTCTCTATAGAGTGATTTTGCCACGTGAGACTTTCTTGAGCCTGATAAACACAAATCTAACTCCAACAGGATAATCTATAAAGGGAGGGATTGGTGATCATTTAAGCCAGATCATTGGACATTAGCCTCGAGGGCTGGGGTCACAGGCAGGACCCTCTGTCTGTGATTCTCAATCCTCTGTGCAAATGAGCTTCATCATCTCCTACTGCAGCTAGCTTTTTTCCCTCCAAGTGGCAAACAGCTGTATGTCCCCAGCCCCCAATTCACATCCCAACTCTCAGCACCAGCCAAAAAAATCTGAGGAAGGACACAGATTGGCCAGACACATCTGCTACGCCTCTTGCTTGAAGTCCCAAAGGCAAATCTGTAGACACATGCACAAAATGAGGATGCCAGAGAGACAGCTTTGTAGCCAGTGATGTGAACATTTGTGAGCCTCATTATTTTCATTTGGGGGATTTGATACCTAGTCTGAACTAGGAAGAGCATCTCCTCACCTTTTTCTTCTTGGACCTGAACCGACATCCCTGTATAACATCCCACCTGAGGTCCTCTTCCCAGACTCCAGAATTTGATGTGTGTTCCTGATCCTCTCCGAAATCTCCTTTTCTCTCTGTCACTTTATCAATTAGCCAACTTCCTGTTGTTATAACAAATACCTGAGACCAGGTGGTTTTATAAGGAGTGGAAGTTTATTTAGCTCATGGTTCGGAGGCTGGGAAATCCAAGAGCATGGCCTTGACATCTGATGAGGGTCTTCTTGGTGCATTATAAAATAGTAAATGGCTTCTCATGGCCAGAAAGAGCAAATGTACCAGTGTACATTCTCTTTTATAAAGCCATTTATGCCATCTGGAAGGCCTCACTTTCGTGATATCATCCAATCCTGATCCCCTCAGAAGTCTCCTACCTTCAAGTGTCATTGATGTAGATTGGGGGATTAAGTTTGCAACATGAACTTTAGGGGGAACATAATCAAACTATAGCATCTTATATCATAAAGTGAGAGGAAATGAACAGATTGAGTGGGTGATCATGGAGGTCTAGGGACAGATAATAAAACTGTTGAAAAAGGAGTAACTTCCAAAATCAGTATTTCAGAAAGGAGAGGGGACATGTCCCCCTTGAGCAAGCCACCCTCAGGGTTGCTTTTACACAGGATTATTTTTTATTGGTCATGACTGTGACCCCATGCTGACCTCCCAGGTGGCATAGATGAAATGACAAGCTGGATCTTCCATAATCCATTTGCTAACTTCCAGGGATAGCTAATAGGAAATAAACACAGCATAAATTCAGCAAATTAGGGTCTGGCATAAAAGGTAAAGGGCTACAATCTCATCATAGCTAATTTGTTTCCTGGAGACTCCAGAGAGAAGAAGAAGATCTGTCCATGCACATCTTGATCATGCTAAACCTTAGGTTTTCCTTTTGGAGGGAGAGAGAGAGAGAAAGAGAGAAAGAGAGAGAGAGAGGGAGAGAGAGTCCTGAGGTTAACTTTTGGTTTAGTTGCTTACTGATCCTTAAACTTGGGTGAGCTTGCTGAGGCTCTGTGAGTGGGTAATGCCTGCTTCCCAAAGTGGATTTAAGAGAACACTAATTTTCTAGGTCTGTGCTATAGTTTGCTATAATTCATTGAGCCATGTGTTAGAGGCTTTGGGGAAGTGGTGGGACCTTTAGGAGGTGGGGTCCAATATGAGGTCTTCAGGTTTGCTGGAAAAGCAGTCTTGAGGAGGATAGTGAGATTCCAGGCCCCTCCACACTGTCACTTCCTGGTCATGTGGTGAGCAGTCTCTTTCCCTCACTTGCTCCTGCCATGGTATGCTATATGGTTGAATACCTAAAGCAACAGAGCCAAATGACCCTGGATGGGAATCTCCAGAACTCTGAGTCAAAATAATCCTTTTTCTTTATCAGTTAGTTTTCTCAGCTATCTATAATAAAAATGGGAAGTCCCATGGGAAAAAAATCTGTGGGATTCCTATTTCCAATTAACCACCAAGAAGCTTGAAGTAAAGATGTGGCTCAAGTGCTAGAGCACCAGCTTTGAGTGAAAAGGCTAAGGAAGGAACAATGTCCAGGCCCTGAGTTCAAGCCCTGGTATTGGCACCAATTTTTGTTTAAAGAGAAGAAGGAAGGGGAAGAGAAGGGAAAGGAAGGGAAGAGAAGGAAAGGGAAAAGGAAGGGAAAGGAAGGAAAGAAGGAAGAAAGGAAGGAAGAAAGCGAGGGAGGGAGGAAGGAAGGAAGAAAGAAAGAAAGGAAGGAAGAAAAAAGAAAGAAAGAAAGAAAAGACAAACCTTATTAGAGGACAAAAATAGCTTTGTATGCCAAATGAGAGTCAACACCACACACCTCAAAGGCAGGTCCATGGAAGAGAGGTAACTGGTTATTTCCTTCTAGGGAAGAAAAGCTGAGAGAAGTGTGTAGTCAAAGGCATACCCCCCAGCATGGCCAAATACAACTCTTCCCATTCTTGTCCTTCACAACAACAAAGGAGAAGCAACCCTTTTCAATCCTTTGCCAGTGGGCCAGTGTGAGGCTATGTTTAAGCTTGATCAAGCCAAACAGACAATGGCCAGCGAAGTAGCACACATGTTGTTTATGATCTGCAGTTATACTCCCCTGTTTTCTCTGCAGATTTGGGATCTGGAGACCCACAGCTGCTTGTTCACAGCCTCCTCCAAAGCCAGTGGTATTAAGGGGGAGTTTGCAACCTGCCTTTATCTCCCTGGCCCCCAAGCCCTGTGTGTGGCCACTGATTCTGTAGCACTCCTGCAGCTGAGACTAAGGTATGAAACTGTTGGTCCTCTGAGCTCCACATGCTAAGCCCAGACAACCATGATCAACCTCTATACACTATGTTCTGCTATTTGGACTTTTGCAGAAACTACAGGCCCTGAGTATCTAGCTTGTGCGCTCTCTCTCTCTCTCTCTCTCTCTCTCTCTCTCTCTCTCTCTCTCTCTCTCTCCCTGTCATTATCTTTAAGTAGTTTTACAAAGGAGTTGCCATTTAACAAGACAGTTTATGAATATATTTCTTGATCAATGTCACCCCTTTCAAAATTCTCACCCACCCTTCCTCTACCCACCCCTTCCCTTACTCTTCTTTATTTTGTAGGCTATACATTGGATTCTTGACTGCATTCGGGCCTCCCCTTCTTTTCTTCATTTATCTACCTCTCTCCCCTGTACCCCACCCTCCTCCTTTTGAGTACTTGCTTCCTGGTATTTTATTTGGCTAAACATTGACTTTGCCTTTCTCCCTGAATCTACCATATTTCAGCTACTATATTGCAGAGGTCTCTTTAATATTTTAGGGGGGTGCTAGTACTGGAGCATGAACATAGGACCTGGGCACTGTCCCTAAGCTTTTTCATTCAAGGCTAGGGCTCTACCATTTGAATCACACCTCTACTTCCTGCTTTTTGGTGGTTAACTGAGTCTCATGGACTTTTCCGCCCCAAATGGTTTTGAACTGCAATGCTCAGATCTCAGCCTCCTGAGTAACGAGGATTACAGGCATGAGCCAGTGCCCAGTGATCATTTTCCATTAGCTACCTCGCACCCCTGGAGTGACCCATGTTATACTGAAGTCTGTGAACTGCACTTCTTACACCACCTATCCTATCTGCCAGCCATTTGTGTAAGAAGTTGTCCCACACTTTACTATATATAGAGGCTGATAATCATGCCCAAGGTATCACCAGAATAATAAGAGTCCAAGCAGTGCTGTTGCTTTCCTTGTGCCTCATGTTTCAGACTCTTGTCCATAAAGCATGAGAGCTATTCTGGGACAGGACATGCCCAGGTGATGAGACTTCAAGTGGGCTTCTCTTTCCCAGCACCTCAGTATCCAGGAGCCCTTCGGTGCTCCTTCACCAGGCCACGTCACTATTGCCCCATCTGCAAGGAAAATGGGCACCCACCTTCTTGCCCTTCTGCACTCAAAGAGACCTCTAGCCTTGACCATCTGTCAGCTCTGGGTACTTGGGCTGAGGCTCTCTGGTCTCACAGAGAGTTTTAAGTTCTTCCCCCATGCACATGCAAGTCATCTCTTCATTTCCCAGAGCCTTGCAGATGAGAAGCAGGTGCCTTACGTAGGGAACAAATTGTTCTAGGGCACACAAGGCAGGCAAAGATTAGGGACCAGTTCTACTCTTTGGTTTCAGCCATCCTGCCTAAACCAAAACTTTCAGAGATGTCAAACGAGAGACGAAACCTTGCATTTCAAACACAATCAGGAGTAGGGGCTGGTGGCTCATACCTGTAATCCTCACTCTCAGGAGCTGAGATTCAGAGGATTGTGATTAGAGGCCAGCCTAAGGGGGAAAAAATCCCTCAAAACTCCATCTTCAAACAACCAGCATAAAACAAGGCTGAAAGTAGAGTGCCAGTCACATGAACAAACTGGAGGCCCTGAGTTCAAGTACCTGCCTCCCTAGTAATCAATCAATCAATCAATCAGACAGCCGTGTGCCAATAGCTCACAATTCTAATCCTTGGTACTCAGAAGGCTGAAATTTGAGGATCACAATTCAAAGCCAGCCTGGGCAAGAAAGTCTGTGAGACTCCTATCTCCAATTAACTACTGAAAAACTGGACCAGCCCAGAAATAATCAAATAAATAAATTAGACTGCTAACATGGTGACGGGGTGAATATGTTTAAAGTATACTATATGCATGTATAGAAATATCACAATGAAACCCTTTTATATTACAAAATGCACACTAATTCAAAAGCTAAAAAAGTATTTCTAGATGTATGTTAAAAATAAAACCACACCAATTGAAAACCCAATCAGACAATAAGAAGCAGCTGCCAGGTCTCCCTTCTCCAGAGCCTACAAATAAACCACCCTGGTTGGTCCCAGTGGCCCTGGGAAAAGTCACAGCTCTTCTCTCTGGCTCTGTCACAGAGCAACTCTCTCTTACCCGGATCAGTCACTTGCCCTGTGCTTTGACAACCTCAAGCATTTTCTGCCTTCGAAAAAAACACATCATTACAGCTGGCCTACAGTATAGGTGTTGTTCCCTCTTATTCACCCATTTCCCCTGCCTGGGAGCTACTTTTCTGTGAACTCAAAAGTCAGTATCAGGAATTCAAGACAAGGACACAGGAAAGCTTATAGAGTGACTATAGTCATTTGCACATCCCAGGTCCTTTTATCTCTGCAGTAATGGTGACTGGATTTTCTGAACCCAAACCCATGACCCACAGAATCATAAATGGTTTCTCTTCATTGGTAAACAGAGGCACAAGAGGAATCTGAAATGCAAAAATCAGTCAGGGACCTGATGGCATGTCAAGAATTGACTTCACAGATGGGTGCTAGTGCTATACCTGAAACACTAGCTTTCAGGAAGCTAAGATCTGAAGATTGAGGTTCACAGCTAGCCCAGGCAGGAATATCTCCAAGACTCCAATTAACCAGCAAAAAAACAAAAGGAGAGGTATAGCTCCAAGAGGTAGCGTGCAGAGTGCTTACATTGAGCAAAGAAGTCAAACAAGAGCGAGAGACTGAATTCAAGTCATAGTACCAGGAAAAAAAGAAAGGAAGGAAGAAAGAAAGAAAAAATGAAAGAAAGAAGGAAGGAAAGAAAGAAAGATAGAAAGAAAAGAAAGAAAGAGAAAAAATGAGAAAGGAAGAGTTAGTAATCCTATTTCAGAGATATCAATCCCCTTGGAGCTATCCAGAACTGGCTAGAGCCTGTGACTTCCTGACCTGCTCACTGAGGCCAGGCTTGCCTGGGTTAAGAGAGCCTGGGCAGAGCAACTGCCAAGTGATTATTGCCACCAGGCTGGGAAACAATCGCAGGCTCTTCATTCAAAATGCCAAAGTGGGTAGCTGAAAACAGAAGCTTCCGTCAATCAAACTACTGTTTGTTCTACATGATAGCATTGTGCAGAACAAACAGCCTGCTTGATTGATTTCTTTTGCAGTAGAGTGACTGGATTCCACTTCACAGCAAACACGTCTTCAATCTCTAATGCTAACAATTAGATATTGGATCATGTCTCCTCTCCCCACCCCAGCCCACCCTGTCTCTGCTGTCACTCAGGATCTCTAGGACCTAGATGGAGTTACCTAATCTGCATCTGTCTAACTGAAGCTCCACTCTCTTATCTCAAGGCTGGGGAAGGGAACCTAGGGTGGCTGCTCTAGCCAGCACTATGGCCCCTGGACTCCCCTCATCTGGCCCTTCCTCCTCCTCCCACCTGGGCCAGATCCCACCTTTACTTCCCCAAGCCCGATCCTTAATACCAGATTGTCTTTGCCCTTGAAAAAGACTCCTGGCACCATGCCTGATGCTTCAGATTTGTGGAGGGCTTGGCAGTTGTACAGGGCCTGAATCTGGGGCTATGCCGCAGAGGGCAATGAAGAAAGCACCGTGGATTAGCAGTGGGGGCAGAATTCACATTTAGTACTGAGAGTCTAGTACATGCCAGGCCCCTGAAGACAGTTACATTCCCATCACTCCTCACAGGACCATCTATTTTGCAGATGAGGAAATTCATCCAAAGGGATAGGTTGCTGTCTGCTCTGTGTCCTGGCCGTAGGCTGGGGGTGGCTCATAGGGCAAGGCCATGCTTGCTCAAGTGTGCCATTTCACCTTAGCATGCGTCACTCATCAGCCTTTGCCTGACTTGTCTGCTCTGAGTAAGAAGTGCTGTCTTTGGGCATGAGGATTCACTGAAGACTTATCTGTTTGTATTTGTTTAGGGGAAGATCTAAATTAGTAGTGAAGATCTATTGTGTAATCTCAAAACCATACTCCTACCCTAAACAGGACGTCTGTAACCAGGCATGGTGGTCCATGGCTACAATTTCAGAGCTTGGGAGGTGAGCCAAAATGATCATGGATTTGAGACCAGCTTCAGGTACATGGCAAGACATTGTCTCAAAACAGTGCTGGTCACTCATACCTGCAATCTTAGCCAATCAGGAGGCTGAGACCTAAGAATCAATGTTGGACGTCAACTGGAGCAGGAAAGTCTACTAGTTTATTATCTCCAATTAACCAATAAAAAGCTAGAAGCTTTTTAAAGCTGTCTTCTTTTTCAGGAGCTATGACACTGTCTTATCACACATCAATTACACATATGATACTCTGTGCTAATGTGATTGTATGTTTTCTCTTTTAATCTTCAAAAAAACCAAGTATTACACTGTGTCATGCGGTTCCCTCAGCTGTCACCGTCTCTCTGTCTTTCACAAAGAAGGTCTGCCCCAGAGCCCCAGCTGGTGCTTTCTCACCAAGAGCCTGTGGTATGCTGTGGATATAACCTAATCTTCAGGCATGTGGTCAGCTGCTCAGAAGCATCCGTAAGTATTGACACTTAGTATCAGCAATGTGGTGTCTGCAAGAGTGGGCCTGACACCTCTGCCCTTCCTTAGAGCAAGAAATAAATAATGGAAGTGGTGCTGTGGCTCAAGCAGTAGAGTGCTCGCCTTGAGCTGAAGAGCTCAGGGACAGCGCCCAGAGTTCAAGACCCACTACCGACAAAAAAAAAAAGAGAGAGAAATTCAATTCTCCTCTTAATGATCAGGTAGTGTTTAGGTATTCTTAAAATGAGTCAGATGGAAAAGTTCCTCTAGTGGCTTGTAGAATGAGCCATTTAGATGATCCATCCATCCCAGCAGTATTATTTCATTGAGACTCCCCTGTCTGGTGTAAAGCAATTACTTTCTCTTAATATATTGTCACTCTAATCTATGTTGGAGGGGCAGAGACTTACATGGCTGCATCTCAGCACACAGATTTGTGAGGATCATCTTACCTGCACTCTTAACAAGTTACATAGTGTCAGCCCATGAAGGTGGAGGATATAACCAGTTCCTCTTGAACAAGGAAACCTGGTCCATCTTGTGACTCATCTTCCACTCCATGATAAGGAGAGGCTATACCCTAACCTCACTGAGGATGTCTTCCAGTTCCGCAATCTAGTAGTCAAGCAGCATTTAATGGTGGCATATGTTTCAAGAAATAGGTGATTGGGTTATTTTGTGGTTGTGCAAATGTAAAAGAGTGCACTTCACAGACCTGGGTGGTATAGCCTTTGTGTGTGTGAGTGTGTGTGTGTGTGTGTGTGAAAGCCTAATGCTTCTAGGGTTATGACCAACAGAACAACAGGAGATTAAAACAAGCACAAGAGAAAACAGTGGAATTAAGAGACATGGCAAATATCAGATATTGAGGCTTCTATCAACACAATATTCTGTTTGACAGATATCTATCTATCTATCTATCTATCTATAGGCATATACATCCTAAGTCAAGACAACAATATGGTATAGTAAATCCAGTTACCTCATCATTTATTATCATTATTGAGTATCATTCATCATATGTGATGGTATTGCCAGACTTTTTTTTGGGAGGGGGTCTGGTCGTGGGGCCTGAACTCTTTGCCTGGGCGCTGTTCCTCAGCTCTTCAGCTCAAGGCTCTACCACTTGAGCCACAGTGCCACTTCTGGCTTTTTTTCTTTTTGCTTATATGGTGCTGAGGAATCGAACTCAGGGCCCCATGCATGCAAGGCAAGCGCTCTACCACTGAGTCACCTTCCCAGCCCCCTTGCCAGACTTTTATCTATGATTGGCAGTGTCACCACAAACATATGAGTAGTGTATTAAGACCAGGACATTGGCACTGCTTAGATACCAGGAGGAAACAGGAATATTTTAGCAGTGCATGCACGTTGACTGAAACGCCCTCATGCAGCACATGACTAATCACTTTCTGAATCACTGGCCTGGGTACCATTCCAGGTGAACGCCCAGAGTACATGGCCTCACCTTCTTTCCTGCTTCCTTCCTAAGCCAGGGCTATCATACTTTAGGGTAGTGGTCTTGGATGCAACCCTTACTTACTCCACACCTCTATATTGGGTTCCTCATACTCATTACAGCCTCATGCCAGTGAGACTCTGTTGAACAGCTTTCTGCCAAAGAGATTAATGATCAGTATGATTTTATTAAGTATTATAAAATGGATTACCTGGGCAAGAAGTTTGTTTTCAAACAATGATTCGGTTCCAATACAGCTCCACGTAGGGCACATTCCTGCATAGCTGAGGCTCCTGCTGAGAGGGAGTGCTTATCTGCCCTGCTTCCCTGCCTCCCATGTAGCTGGCCACCTTCCTGCCCATCGCTGCCCCTAGCTCTGTTCAAACTGTTCCTATCTCCACCCAGGAGCTTTCCTGTCTCCTTTTTTCCTGCATATACCTGAGGATCCTTCTAGATCCATCTTCTATGAAACTTTTCTTCCCAAGCCCCTGTGTTCAGAAACCACATTGCTATGTACACGATCTCTCACCTGAGTGAGGCTCACCTTCAACGAAGGCATCGGGTATAGGAAGCAAGGGCATTTGTGTGTCCTCTCTTCTCTTCTCTTTACCTCCCTCCTTCCTTCTTTCTTCTTCATAGAACACAAATATTAGCTCCTCTAAGAAACATTCTTGCAACATCTTCAAAAAGACTAAGAAGCTAGATCAGCTTCGAGTTATAAACTCTTATTTTAAACTGCTTTTTTTTTATTGTCAAGGTGATGTACAGAGGGGTTACAGTTACATAAGTAAGGTAATAAGTACATTTCTTGTCAAACTTGTTACCCCTCCCCTCATTTTTCTCCTACTCCCTCCCCATGAATTGTGCAGATGATTTTCAACATAGTGTCTTGTGAATATCACTGTTGCTCTGGCTCCCCTCTTACCCTTTGTCTCACCACTCTGTTGTTCCCCTTCCCTTCCGAAATAGTAGTCTATAATTGTTTAATAATTGTATTCAGCTCTGGTACAATTTGAGGTTTCCTAACACACAAAAAAGAAAGTTCAAAAGGCTCTGCTGAGTGGGTCAGAAGGGGCAGGAGAATAAAAGGGATGGAAGAAGGGGAAATGGGGCAGGGGAGAGGGATAAAGAAGGTGAATTTGTTTGGAAGACATGGTAAGCCTTTATGGAAATGCCACAAGGAAACACCCCTTTGTACAACTAATGTAAGTTAATAAAAATATTAAAAAATAAATGCTTGATAAGAAATGTACGCATTATCCTGCCCATGTAATTGTAACCCCTCTGTACAGTATGTTCACAATAAAATAAAATAAAATGAAAAAAATAAAAAATAAATTTTAAAGGGAAAAAAATTAACATTCTTGTTGGGCCTTGATGGCTCTTGCCTTATAACCCAAGCTACTCAAGAGAATGAGGTCTAAAGATCGTAATTCAAAGCCAGCCCACGCAGGGAAATCTGTGAGACCCCTAACTCCAATTAACCACTCAAAAGCCAGAACTGGAGGCATGGCTAAAGTGGTAGAGTGCTAGCTTTGAGCAAAATAGCTAAGGGACAGCACCCAGGTCCCAAGTGCAAGCCCCAGTATTGGAGCGCGCACACACACACACACACACACACACACACACACTAACTACCTTGTAGGGACGGATATTGTGGAGAAAGCAATGGGGACAGCTCAGATGCCATCACAGCATTTTAGGAGCCTTGGCTCTGGAAAGGAACCACAACTGCAAATAATACAATATGCATGCCTGGCCATTAAAAACTAACAGCAGTTGCTGAACACTTGTGACTTAAACTTGTGGGGCTAGGAAGGTGGCACAGTGGTAGAGTGCTTGCCTCACATGCATGAGGCCCTGGGTTCGATTCATCAGTATCACATCCACAGAAAAAGCCTGAAATGGCGCTGTAGCTCAAGTGGTAGAGTGCTAACCTTGAGCTGAAGAGCTGAGGGACAGCGTCAAGGCCAAGTCCAGGCCCCATGACCAACCAAAAAATAAAAACAAAACCAAACTCATAATCCTAACTAATCAGGAGATCTGATGATTGGAGTTCAAAGCCAGCCTGGGCAGGAAAGTCCATGAAACACTTATCTCTAATTAACCACACCAAAAAAATCTGAAATGGAGCTTATAGCTCAAGTGATAGAACATTAACCTTGAGCAAACAAGCTAAGGAAAACCACCCAGGCCCTGAGTTCAAGCCCCAGTACAGGCACAATAAATAAACAAAAAATAAATGTCCTAACTTTCAGGCCATAAGAAAGGACCCATTAGCCCTGGGTTAATTCCACGGTAACATCATCTGCCTCCTTCCATAGCTCTGCTTTCCCTCTGCATCTCTCCTCTGGCAGTAGGTGGCAAGTAGATATTGAGTTGAGATATAAATACTCTCACAGCTATTATGGTAGTAGGCACATGCTGGGAATAGATTCCCCAACATTGAGTGAATTAAATTAGTGATCTCAGTATGTGCTGCCTTGCAGATTTGCTGCTGGGTTAAATCTCTGTAGAATCGTGATGTCACCATCTTGATCTAAATCCCATTGCACACTTGATAATTGTGGTGGAGAGAGTATAGCCAAACATCTTCATGAAACACAAACTGATGCATACCACAAAACCACACTGCCTACTTGGTCATGAATGCAGAAGCCTGAAAACTGCACAACATATTATTCATCAATTGAATGTTTATAGCATATTACATACTTAAACTTACATATATATAGTGATGAAAGTTGGTTTTATAAGAATAATAGATGACTATCAGGAGAACTTAAAATTGTAGATATTAGTGAAAAGATTTTAAAATCTAGTATCAAATTTTTAATTTTACTCTTGTGTGTACTTGTACTAGGGCGTGAACTCAGAGTTTCACTCTTTTTTGCTAAAGTCTGGCACTCTGCCACTTGAGCCACACCCACACTTCCATCTTCTTGCTGGTTAATTTAAGAGAGGCATTTCATGGACTTTTCTGCAAGGCACTGGCTTTGAATCACAATCTCCAGATCTCAGCTTCCTGAATAGCTAGGATTACAGATCTGAGCCACTGGTGCCCAACTGGAGATATGTCCTTTAAGAGAAAAAGCCACTTAGGACTCTGGGAGAAGGTTGCAACCTGCAAGGTAGGGGGTGGGGATGAAAGGGCTTCAGAAGAAACTACCCTGCCAGCACCCTGACCTTGAACTTCTGCCTAGAGACTATGCTACAGTACATCTCTGTTGCTGAAGCAACATGGTTGTGGTACCTTGTTTCAGCCCTAGCCAATAGTTTGCTAGTGTGTACCACAAGCACCAATCTATCTTTATTTTACTTTTTTATTGTGAGAATACTGTACAGAGGAGTTACAATTACATGGGCAAGATAATGAGTACATTTCTTATCAAGCATTGCGGCCTCCTCTTTGTTTCCCCTTCCCATCCTTTCCCATACTCCTCCCTCCCCCACACCCGATCCTCCCCCCACCCACCAAAGTTGTAAAGTTCATTTTTTGACATAACTACTTGTACATCTCATTGTTGCAATGGGTCTACCTGTATCCCTATTTAACCGGCTTGTTTTTGCCCTTCCCCTCCACAAATTATACCAACATCAAATACGGTGAAAGCAGGGGTTATGCCATGGGGGAGGTACATACAAAGCAACAAAGAAATCATCTTATAAATATGTTAGAAACAATCGCAAGAAAGAAAAAACATTTGAATACTTAGGTCCAATGGTTTCCCTTATTTGCAATAACTAGTATATGTCTGAGACAAGCAGAAAAGATCAGATAAGCTGATGTTAAGTGAAATGAACCCCAAGATAAGCATCCAATCTATCTTTAGTATGTTTGACACAGATCTTTAAACACTAATTCCCTTTTGTTTGGTAGCCAGCATCTTCAGGTCACATGTTTTCCTTTTTTTTCCTGCAGGTAGTGAAAGTGTGGGACTTGGACACAGGAAGACACTTATCTGAATTTATTGGAGATCATGACAATGCTGGAATTACTTGTCTGACCTTTGACTCCAGCGGAAGAAGGTATGCACTTTCTCTCTAGTGTTTCGATCATTAACAAGGTGGCTGCTGCCATTTCCCCCTAAGGCCACACTGTTTCCTAGGCTTGTAACCGGAGGCAGAGATGGCTGTCTGAAAATCTGGAGCTATAACAATGGACATTGCCTGCACACCTTGAGACACGGTAAGTGATCATGGGATATTCCTGCTAGATGGACCTCATAAAATATTGATGTAAGAGTTAGCATTTGAACCAGGCATGGAGCTACGCACCTTAATTCCAGCACTAAGGAGGCTGAGACAGGAGGATTTCGAATTAGAGGCAAGCCTGGGCTTAATAAGACCATCATAATCTTTCCCAGAGCTGTTCACTGAACTCACGAGTCTGTTTTTGGTGAAATAATAATAATAAGTCTCTGATTCCTGTCAGTATAACTTCTACCAGGCAGATAAGATGCGGGCATTCTTCTGATACTGGAGGGAGATAAAGTAAAGGTTACAAGACAGATCAGAGTCATGAAGCTAAAGCCATGAGCCTGTGAGCCCCAACTCTGCTCTGACCTCCTACATTCACATAGTGATTCTAACTCAGTGAGTGCATATGCTGCTGGGTCTTGTCAGGAGAAACTCAGCCTCCTCTTGGAGCTGAGCAAGGGCCAAATCAGCATTATGGACGATGAGGGAAGCAGCAAATCTAAAGCACTTTAATGACTTGAAACATGTGGTCTTAAAACCACCAAGTGTGCAAGTCTTCATCATCATCAGTGAGATTAGAACAATCTATATACACGGATCAAGACTTAATAAGGAAGCTGGTACCTCTCAGGAAGTTGAGATCTGGGAATTGCGGTTCAAAGCCAGCCTGGACAAGAAAGTCCATGAGACGCTTACCTCCAATTAACCACCAAAAAGCCAGAAATGGCATTGTGGCTCAAGTGGTAAAGCCCTAGCCTTAAGCAAAAATGCTAAGGGACTGTGCCCAGGCTCTGAGTTCAAGTCCAATACTAGAGGGAAAAAGGAGAGAAAGTTAATAAGGACAAGTGTTTGATATACGATGATAATATTACTGTCTTTCCAGATGAGAAACAAAGTGAAGTCTGCGATTGCACCTACCTGGAGATAAACCAAAAGAAGTAAGTCATATTCAGGTTGAATATGAGAAGAGTTGCATTTAGTGGGGAATCTTTTTTTAAAAAAAATACAATGTTTATTCTGGAGCAAGATTCCAAAATACTGAGGGGAATTTTCCAGAAGAAAATGTGTTAAGGCATTCCCAAGGACCCTGTTTGCTTTCTGGAGATGATTTAGCCATCTAGGCTATTGGAACAATTTTCTGTGCATTTTGACAAACGTTTAGAGGTATAAAATGTGATAGTGCTATATCTTCCCACCAAATGTTTATTAAGAAACTAGAGATTAGAAACAGGAGCAATCAAATCCAACCACCATACATCAAAGAACAAAAATTCAATCAACTCCCTTCTCAACATAGAAAGGGTGAAGCATTCTTGGTCAGTCTCTGTCCAGGCCCCGCTGGACATGCTTCTAACAAGTTCATGGGAACAGGAAATCCTCAGGCAGCTGCCCGTCCAGGAGCATCCCTGAATCTCAGAAGTGATAGGATATCCTGTGACTTGTTTCCTGATCCTTTAAGCACCAGTTAAAACATCCGACCTAATTGACCAAAGAGTATTTCCTGTTGTGTTAGGTAAGAAACAGAAAAGCTCTGTTCATTCCTTCTTCATTTATCTCCTGGGCATGGCAAAATTAAGTCACAGTATTCATTCCACACACAAAGTAATCTGATGAAGAGCTTAAGTGTTGAAATGTGCAATTCTGTTATTGTCCTAGGTATGTCATAGCGGTTGGATGGGATCGAAGAATAAATGTGTACTTTGTAAGTGAAATATACCAAATGATGGTACTTCAAAATCCTCCTCTGGGTTGATTTTTTATTTCTCCCTCCCCTTGTCCCTTCCTTCTTTCTCTCCTCTCCCACTCCTCATATCACTTTTCTTGTCTCCTAGTCCCACCCACCCCCCTCTCTCACCCTTTTAGAAAAGGATTTGGCCAGGCATTCGTGGCTCTAGCTACTCAGGAGGTTGAGATCTGAGGATCTCAGCACAGACAGAGCACCAGCACAGACAAAAATCTGCAAGACTTCAATTAATGAGTAAAAAGCCCGAAGTGGAGCTGTGGCTCAAGTGATAGAGTGCCAGCCTTGAGTGAAAAGGCTAAGTCCCTGATTTCAAGCCCCA